ACAGTGACTTTGTGGTATATCCTTGCCACGATACCTTTCCATCTAGAGTTACAGAGATAGTAAGCCACCATATGAGTGCTGGGAATTGAGCCTGGATCCCCAGAAAGAGCAACTAGTGGTCTTAACTGTTGAGCCATCTCTCTAGTACCTCCATATACTTTTGAAGTTCTTTCCTTGAAAATCCATAACTAACTGTATTGGGGACAGCAGCCACTCCTCAGAGAGCCCTTTTCTCTGCTGAGCTGAGGAGACACATCCTTGGTATGAGGAGTGAACTGAAGCAGTTTGTCCTGGGGCCCACTTCCTGAGACTTGCATTGGGGAAAAAAAAAAGAAGAAGAAAATCTAGTCATCCTGTGGGTTGGGGTTCATGAACCCCAAACCTATGAACCACCTTGAAGTATTGTCACAGCAGACAGGGCAGAGCAAGGAACTCCTACCTCACATCAGCACCAAACACCCGGAGACTCTGTTGGCCAGCAAGAGCAGAAAGTGTGAGAAGGTGCAGAAGTATGAAACCCAGAGGCAGAGGCACCTGCCTCACCCTAATCCCAGTGAGCTAGTCAGCCTTCCGAGAAAACAGGGATCAGGAGCGGAGTTAGTGACCAGGCATCTGGTACAGGACACCTGAAGACTAGTGTGGGGCAACACAATTGAGCTCCCCAGCACCCAAGCCCAAGCCACTAGGAGCCCATCACAGAAATCTGAATCTTTGGAACAAGGAAGGTAAACACTGAAACACTCGCACAGAGGCCCCGGTCAGATTCCCACCCACACAAGAGGACTGACGAAAGCTTCTAAGGGAGATGAGATTCTCTGTGTGGTTTTTGCTGTTCAATCCAATCACAGAGAGTGAGGCATGCAAAAAAAAAGTAAGGAAAACTCAATCCCAATCCATCATCAAAAAGCAGAGCAAACCAAACAAACAAAAAAAAAAATCAGACTCAAAAACAACACAGGTGAGGAGCTGGGACACACTCACTCTAAAATATCCCTCTTAAGTGTGTCAAAATATTACTTGTGTGTGAACAGATAAGGATTTAAAACTAAGACAGAGTCAAATGGATATATAGTCAAAGCCAAAATATAGCATGAAAGATGAGTTCCTTCATATGCTCAAGGATATACTTGATGTAGCTAAAGGTGGGGGTCACTGGATGGGAAGATAGGTCAAGTAGAAGTAGTCAAAAATGTAAATATGAAGAGAAAGATGAGGGCCTGGAAAGATGACTCAGTGGTTAAGAGCACCGGCTGTTCTTCCAAGAGATCTGGGTTCAATTCCCAGAACCCACATGACAGCTCACAACTGCCTTGTAACTCCAGTTCTAGGGGATCTGACACCTTCACACAGACAAATATGCAGGTGAAACACCAATGCACATTAAATAAATTAATTAAAAAAAAAAGATAGAGAAAGATGGTCAGAGCAGGAGGAAGCAGAAACAAAATACAAAGCCCTCTGGGACACTGGATCATCATCTGTGGATGAAAGTATGTAATTAGCATGCCCAGAAGGAGTGAGACCATTCTAAGAGATACTCGATCATGTCTCACCTTGGCTATCTGTCCCATGGAAACAAGATGCCCAAGGGAATTGGGATTCCCAGGGAGGCTCTCGGTAGGAAATAAAAGGCTGAAGCCTGGGGCCAGGCAGATGGGAACTTGTCTCCCAGGAAGAGAGCTCATGCAGACAACAGGTCACACCATCTTCTGAGACAGGCTGAAGCTGAGATAATGATGGTGTACTACAATGGGCAGGACTCCTTAATTACATATATATACCTCTTGTCTTGTATCTAAACCTTACCCTCATGTCAGGACCTGAAAGATGGGTTTGGGAGAGTCACTGGATCTCTCTCTCTGTCTTTCTTTCCAAATGTGAATCACAATGTGGCCACAGGGAATCAATCCACTTTCTTCCTGATTTTTACTATTACTTGTTTGTTTCATTGGTTCATCGAGGATAGGCAGCCACATCTGAATTATTGGGGCATCCAGGGCCAGGCTCTGACCTTTAATAACCCTGATAATAAGTAGTGTCACAGAAAGGAAGAGAAGAGGAGAGGAGAAGGGGGGCAGGAGAGAGGGAAGAGGGGAGGGAGGAGAGGAAATGAGATGGAGAGGAGAGGAGAGAGAGGAGACGGGTGGAGAGGACCAAGGAGGGGAGGAAGAACTAGACAGAGAACCAGACAAAGAAGTGACATCTAAGAAAGGCTCCACAGAAATAAAAATACATAAAACACAGAGATCCCCTCTTGTGTGACTTTTCTTGGGAGATGTGAATGTCTTGGAGAATTTGATGTGAATGTCCACTCAAGTGCCTCAGGCAAGACCCTGATGACAAACCAGAGAAAGTATTTCCCCAGTCCCCCTTGGTGAATCTATGAGTTTACTGGGGTTCCCTGCAGGAGTGTGGGCAGCCAATGGGCAGCTACACAACCGAAGAGTCCACTCTTGGCACAGTTAACTGCTTATGTAGCCTCAGAGTGGGGAGGAGTCTTCTGCGCCATCCTGGGAGTCCTCCCATGTTCCATGGGGAATGTCAACAGACCCAGGCTTGTAAGGGTCTCAGGCAGGCAACCACAGCTGCTCTGGTTCCAAGATGGCAACTGTGTGTCATCCTTAGAGGGCAGTGCACCAAACAGGATGCCTCTTCCTCAACACCCCAAATAGGATGCATCTTCCATAATATCCCCAAAAATAGGATGTATCTTCCTCAAACCAAAAATAAAACATGGCTACATATACTTTGTTTAATATGTGACTGTCAAAAACCAAAAGTAATGAGGAAGTCATGAACTCACAGATTAAACCACAAGCTATGAACACAGAAGCAAAGGCAGGGATTACATCAGACATCTGATGAGAATCGCACGCCCTAACTGCTGAGGAGAAGCCATCCCACCCTGGGAAACTGCAGGTGTCCTTCTAAAGTGAAAGGATAGAGACTGATATGTCACTGTCAGCGGACACGCACCATCAGAAAAGGCTTCAGGCCAAGGATGATACAAGGGGAGACACTGGAGTCCACACAAGGGAGCTGTAGAATGTACACAGTGGAAGTTAAGAACACTCTGGAGAGAAGGGTGCTCAAAGCCATCAGGGGCACATTTGCCCACAGTGGACATGGACACAGCATCAGGAGCAGCTGGAGTGGTTGGAACTTCTAGAGGGATGCACAGTCACCAGAACATGGGCTGTGCTCCCAGAAACTCCCACTTCCTTAAGCAGAGAGGAAAGGCCTCTGCCAGTGACAGATATGCCAAAGGAAACTCAACAGGCATCTGTTGAGATATTGAGAGAATAACACTCAGGAAGATTTTAGAGGCCCAAAGGAATCGAGGCTTTCTTCTGCTTTCTAAAAACTGTCTTTGGGGGAGTACTTCAATCACAGTGCAGTATGGAAGAGGCCTTTGGGCCCATGCTGGGGAGGAAGGGCTGATGAGGTCTCCACCCTGCACTCTGAACAGGGCAGAGGGTCTCAGAAGCCCTGACCCTCTCATGTCTGAATCCAGGTTAACCTGCCTTGTGGGGAGGCGTAGAGATGATGATGATGATGATGATGATGATGATGATGATGATGTGTGTGTGTATAGGACATGAGGGTTCAGGGGTATCTGTAAGTGCACACATGTGTATCTGGAGTTTCTAGGAGTGCATGAGTGCATGTGTGTACTAGAGAGGTTCTGTCTGAGTGGGCATAACTATATATACCTCTATGCATGTGTTTGTGTGCATGGGGGTATGGGTATTTAGTTCATTTGTGCATGTGCGTGTGCATATGTGTGTTGAACAAATAGTACATGTAAACATATGCACATTCAGGACAATGAATCTCTGACATCTGGATTCATTTCTGGCTCAGTTTCATAAAATCCCACACACTCGTCACAGACCGTCTTGGCTGCTGCTGACTCATAAACCATTTTATCAGCTTGCTCTCTTCACCAGCCTACAGCATAAGGGAAAGAGCAGTGAGAGCTCTGGGAGAGATGGGGCAGGACAGAGGCACAGGCACAGCAGACCCTGGGAACCAAAGGCATGCCCATCCCTGACAGCCTCCACATGAACTTCTCACAGCAGTCTACATGAGACCACGGATGAGGATGCACATCAGAAATGGGAGGCTGTCACCAATGCACATAGAGGAAATCACCCTGTTTAGACACCGTTGACAGAGACTTGAACTTCAAAGTACACGTCTGAGGCATGTGGAGCAGATGCAGCTCTACTCACTGATAGGTGAGCAATGCCCTCATGACTGCAGCAGCCACTGCCGTAAGAAATCAGCAGAGCATCACTATTACCATGCTTTCTAATTCCTAATTTCAAAGTGATACGTGTTTTTACACTTCATCATCAGTCAGTGAAGGATGGGCAAGTGTGAACCACTGAAGGGAAGGTGTGACAGGGTCAATCACATTGTATAACTAAGATCCAAACACTGGAGAAGGACCCTGGAGGAAAAAGTCACCAGGACCCAGGATACAGACCCGAGAAAAAACAGCCAGGGATAATCTAAGCACCTACTGCCCATGCGGCCCCTGTGCAGACAGACTGGAAAGGGAGAGCAAGGGACGGAAACACAAGAGACAGCGAGTCTGTGGCAGGGGCCACATTCTCCTGGGACACAGCAGGGACCTGACTACTTCATCAGGCCATGTCCTCCACCAATATCCATCTCCCGAGCCATAGTGAGGCTGAATCAGAGAAAGCACTGGCCTGTGATCACCAGCAGTCAAGGACCAGGACAGACGCACATGGCTGATTAGAAATGCTGCTTTATTTGGCACACAGGTTAGAGAAGCACCCTGCGTCCAGGACATCCTTCAAAAAAGGACAGGACAGGAGGATCTGGTTCCTTCTTCTTCATGCTCTCTCCAGTCCCAGAGTGCAGTGGGCATGTTTCCCACCTACCTCCTGTTGAATCCACAGTCAAGAGTGGGATTGGACAGGACACAGTGTGCATCTTCAGGGAGGCAGCTGGCTTGCAGACACCGATCAGCAGCAGGAGGGAGTGCTACAGGTGACAGGTCTACACACCAGGGTGGGGCAGGAGGGCTGGCAGCACCCGGATGACTGGCAGGAGGAGCTCACACAGACAGGCCGGCAGCTCACGGGCACACACACAGAGGACTGGCAGGAGGGAGCCATGCACACAGTGGGCCTGCAGCTCACAGGCACACAGTAGGCTACCTGGCACCTCACAGGAATGCATATGGCAGGCCTGCAGCAGGCTGGCTGGCAGGGGCTGGACATACAGCAGGCTGGCTGGCAGGGGCTGGACACACAGCAAGATGCCTGGCAGGGGCTGGACACACAGCAGGCTGGCTGGCAGGGGCTGGACACACAGCAGGCTGGCTGGAAGCCTGAGGAGCAGCTGGTGTGACACATGGTGGAGGCTGGCTGTTCTGGAGGAAGGTGAAGATGTCTGCAGCTCCTCCCTGGGGTGGCTTTTATACCTAGCTCAATGACTAAACTACTAGAACGCAGCTTCGTATTTATTTCCTATCCTTTCTTCAGATCTAGTCTTGCTTTTGTTTCTGTATGTTTCTGTTTTTGTTTGCCCTCAGCTAATTACATCTCTTCCAAGTTCCTGGAGAAGGTATTAGCGCAAACAGTAAACAGCAAATCCTGCAGCTGGGTATTAGACTTCTGGGACTCATGATGGATACATCTGGGTGTCAACAACTATGAGTAGTCCCACCCCTCCACCTCTGCTTTCTGCACTGCATGGAGCTCTCTCTTCGGCAGGTTCCACTCCATGCCTAGAGCTTTTGTTGGTGGATATCCCAGAGTCCTTACAACGTCAACATCCTGGGGTCTCTATTGAAACTTAGGTTTCACCTGTACAACTTCACACAATGATTTTTCAGTAGACCTAAGGTATCCAAGCCTACCTCGGGGTCTGAGCTTAGAGGTGTTCTGAAACCTTGTGACAAGCCTTCATAAATCCCACAACTCTTGGAGTTTGCAAGCCTAGAAAACTATGTAACAATGTTGCCATGTTCTTCCGCACAAGATACAGTGTAGCCCCCCTTTGCCACCGCTGTCAAGGCCTCAGGGTGCCTTAGCCTTAGCCAGAGAACCTGGGGATAAATTCCCTAGGCAGTTGTTTTGGAGCAGGGAAGCCCTTCAGCACATTTCCAGTTCAGGTTTTCTCCTTCCAAATGGATTTGAATTTTCACACCTTGGAACTTTTGAGGAGTGGAGTCTAGCCCAAGGTGTCCTTAACCATTTTTCCAGCACAGAATGGGAGGTTTCTCTTTAATGGTGCTAATCACCTCGGCAACCACACTTTCTGCACACTCACCTTGTCTACAACTTTAAACTGGCCCAGGCTCCCTTACTCACCTACCTGCACATCCTCACATTATCTGCTCCTCTCACTGTGCACTATCTGAGAGCAGTCACCACGCCACAGCCCAAACCCTGGACTAACATCACCACACCACAGCCCAAACCCTAAGCTGACATCACTGTGCCCACAATCCAAGCGCCAAGCTGACATCACAGTGCCAAATCCCAAATGCTAAGCTGTCTGGAGAACTCTATAAAGTGCATTAGCCCATGACCTTTGAATTCCACTTCACTTCAAGTTTTTTGGA